TCTTACCATAAACTAAGTAGAATTTCAACCAACTTTATTTTCCAAAGTTTTCCGACCCTTCCAACATTATTTGAGCCAGTAAAATATTCACTTCTCATTTAGTTTCTCAATCTTTTGTATCCTATTGTATCAGTTGTTAAAAAACAGTAGCTTTAAAGGTAAACCGATATATTAAGTTGTCGTAGTATTTATGTATTACAGAAAAAAATTTTTATATGTCGTGACTATCTTTACTTATTAAAAGTACTTTAAAAATTACAATTGACAATATAAAAAAAAGATCTTCGCCAATCAAATTTATTCTTAATTCAGCCAATCAAAACGAACTTCCACTATGCTTTACGTCATATAAAATTTATATATAATCATATTAAATATCACGTCACATACGTTACGTCAAACATTATAGTATATGTTCATTGATATTCTAATGTCTGCAGCTCTAATTTACCGTATTAATCTAAATATTTAAAATAAGCGATTAAGTTCATAATATTTACTATTTATTCCCGTCTCATCATGATCACATGACGGAGATTTACGTGTTATTAATCATAATTTTTATCACAATTATTATTATTATTATTATTTCCATGGGCCACGGGTGATAATAGGGTGATATTAGGCATTTATTATTTCCCAAGTTAAAAATGTAAAGAGAGACAAAGAAAATGTGATAAAAATAATTAGTAACACGAGTCACTGTCATGTCATCATATGAAACGTTAGATAACTCGTTAATTCCGCCGTGCCGGGGAAATAATTGAACTATCTCCCCAGCGGCGCACTTATGGGCGCAAAGCTCCCCACGTATGCCACTTGGGAAATATTTCATTATTCCCATTGTCCCGGAGAATAAACAGTACTTAGTTTCTTTTTATTTACGTTACGGTTGTTTTCAAAAAGTAAGAACGGTAACATGACATGGGATTTCAGATATTTCCCAGAGTTTTCAAGGCTCATTCTAATCGGAAGCTTAATTTTTACTAATCTAAATTTTCAAATTCTTCGATTTCCCACTTAGATATATGGAAATCGTTGTTTACACATTTTTTAAAACGGCTGCAATTTAGTGCATGAATATAAAAATATTTATTGATATAATTTAAAAGAAGTAATATCAAAAATATAAATATTGCAAACAGTGAATGTTATATAAATAAATTAATAATTGGGGAAGATTAAAGAACACTGAACTCACAGTATCACATGACAATCGGCCTAGGTTAGGGGTAGGGTAGGGTTAATTTAGGCCAGTTTGTTTAGTTCTGGTAATCAAATGACGTCATGATATGTAAGTGCCCCATAAATTGAATCTATTTTATTGTTTCTTAAATTTAAATCTTAATTATATTATTTAATCATATTTGTGTTAATAATTTTGTATTGATACATACGCATAATGTTAGATTATAGTAAAGGGGTAAATTATCCAAGATGTTTAGATAGTAAATAATTTAAATAAATATAACTCAAAAAAATCTAAATATTTTTGATTCATTATTCCTTATCAATAACTTTGTTTGCATAAAAACGAATAAGATTAACATAAGTATCAAGTTCATATAGTTCTTTTTCGGAGGTTTTAGACAACTCATCATATTCTTCATCAGAAACTTGCAATTTTTTTGATAAAACATGTTTAAGAGAAGCATATGCGGAAATTACATTACCGACAAACTGTTAATTTATATAATATTAAAAATTACTTTTTTAAGATTAATTTTTTTTTAAAAAACAAAGTTTCAATTTGTACAAAACTTACCGCTTTACTAAGTTTAACATTGTCAGTGTGTTGTAAACCATAATAGCATTTTTTCACAACTTTTTGAATATTTTCCACTTTCCCTAATTTAGAGAGTATATAATTATAATTATTATTAATGAATTATTAAGATAATTTATATCTATAAAATAATATAGAATATGTAATCAATAAAGAGACAAAAACCTTGATTTTGTAAATATTTCTCCATTTTTAGAGTTATATCGTAATCACCGCCTCTTTCTTCTAATACTTCAACCTCTTCATGATAATTGAATATAACATTAAGTAAATAAATAATAAAGTTATTAGATAACATTACGTAAGATACATACCACAATCCCATAAACGTTGAGTAGCTGGTCCTCCATCAATAACTTTGGAAGGTTCAGATAACTTTTTTTTTTTAAAAAAAATAAAATTATTAAAAATACACTTATTTTAAAATCTTAATAAACACCAAATTAATTCTCTATAAATAATACTTCTAAGAATCCGCCTGGTTTTAAAACTCTAACAATTTCATTTATTACATATGGCCACTTTTCTTTAGCATATCCAATAAGTAAAAATCGTTGAAATACAAAATCAAACGTGTCATCGTCAAATGGCAATCCTTCTTGAGCATCTGCTTTAACGAATTCAAAATTTTTAGGTTTTATATGAGTTGGTTGGTATGGAGATATATCTAATCCAATAATTTCAGCTAATGGGTACCTAAAATATAACAAGTAAAGATTAATAATTTCAAAAAAGATTAAGAATTAAAAGACTACATTGTTTTTCACTTTCTTATTAGGAAATTTACATCAATTAACTAATTAGATAATAAATTTTACTAGCAAAATAAAAGAAAAAAAACGAAAGAAAAAGAAAAATACGAGAGAATACTTGTATCAACATTAATAAAAGAATGTCGAGATAGTAAATTTTTATATAATATTTATTCCAACCTTAACCTCAAACCAACATTTCATTTTAGATACTCTTCTAAATATAGAAACCGAAAAATATTACAATAAAAAAATAAAAAATACTATTCATTCGAATAATACTCACGTGGTTGCAATATCAAATGACCATGATCCTGCGCCACATCTAAATAAAATATATCGATATGTTAATTTTTTTTAATATACTATATATATATATATTAAATAAAATTTTAAATAAAAAGATTTCTTTTTTTGAGTTCGTAAATTATACGTGATAATTGTTATGATATATATATATATAATTTAAAGCCTTTTTTGATGGGTTCAATTATAATTTTATCAAATTGTTGGATAATATATTGTGTGGATTTATAATAAAATAAATATTTTAATTAGTAATAATAATAATTTGATCTGTTGGATATAGCGAAAACTTTGTTTCCTCTTATTCACATATGGATCAAAATATTATTCATCAATCTCCATGCTCTTTGCATATTTAAGATTGCATAATTTACTGTAAGTTACTGTATTTGTAAACTATAAGTTACTACGTAAGGTAAAGTTATGTAGATAATATGTAACAAAAATTTCATCCTTTAATAACTTTAATGTTAACTAAATTTATTCTGGTCGACATTAATGCTACAGTACAGCGTGGACTAAAAGACCCCTTTTATAATACCCCTCACGATTTTCAGAGGCCTAAAATGTAAAATAACCGGGTACTAAAAATGAATTGCACTTATAATATATAAAATATTACTGCGGCACTCATATAGTGCAACTTATACCCCTACGCTGACCATAGTATCCCTCCGACTATAATACCCATATATACAGCTTAAATTGTAAAGTAATCTGGGTATTTTTAGTCCATGCTATAA